ACTTCTCTAATACGTAGCCCTTGATGTCCCCCATAAGTTTTCGATCGAATTTATATCCGGGGACTGTGCAGGCCATGGCATTGCATCCACTTTTCCATTAAGAACCCACTCCTTGGCCACCTTACCGGTATGATTAGGGTCACTGTACTGCTGAAATGCGCAAATTAATGGAATATTTTCCTCAGGATACGGCTGCAAGACAGTTTTTAATATTTGGACATAAAAATAATGGTCTTTGATCCGACAGATCATATATACGGGACCTAAAACGTTGTATGAAAAGTATACCCAAACCATGATTTTTAGGCCACCGTGTTTTACTGTCTTCAGCGTATGGTTTGGGGGGCACTATCTATTTGGAGGTCTTGTCTTGTCCTATTCCACCAAATAAAACCAGTTTGGAGTCATTTGTCCAAAGGATATTACGCCATTTGAATAGTGGCAGTTCAAGTGGCTATTGGCGAACTCCAATCTGGCCTTGATATGCCTGTAACCAAGCAGTGACATTTTCCATGGACTTCGCGAATCTAAAATTTATTCAATAAGTCCCCGGCGAATGGTCCCATGACTGATTCCCATCCCAATTCCCGCTCATATATCCCTAGAGGATGCAAAAGGACGAGCTTTGCTGAAGCGAAGTACGCGTCGAGCCTGTACAATTGTGGTTTTGCGAATCGTACCTCGGTTTTTTTGGTTCGGTTCATATTTCATGACTTATAAACTATTTTAAAAGAACAATTTGAAAGATTTGGAGACTCTTTACATGTTTTGCCCTTCTTTCTAGGCTAAGTAATCTGATACCTTTCTCTCATGGAGCAGTGAGGTCCTGCGCCCACTAAAATAATTTTTTTTGCGTTGTAAAGGTGTATTATAGAATAAACTATAATAACGACCGTAATTAAACTCATTTTTTACAAAATTAATAGAAATTTGGGCACTTTTTGCGAAAGAAAATTAAATACTGCTATTTCAGTGATCGGCCAAAACGAGCTGCATATGTGAAAAAATATCAATAAAACATAAAAATAGAGCAAATCTAACGGAATTTTTTCTCGATTCTTATCTTTATGTTCCATTTTACAAAAACAATGTGCAATAGATCAGCTTGCAAAAAGGAATATGTACAAAAAAAGGTTTTGAAGTTGTTCCCTCTGTCGCACTGCTATTTCCGTGAACACAGCTGTAAATATATAAAAATATATAAATATTTATTTAATTTTAAATTTTTGAAAATTTGTATAAATTAAAAGAAAAAAAGTTGTAAAAGTTTTTTTTTTAACAGAAATGGCTAGATCGACTTGGTTGTTGTTGTTGAAAACTTTATGTGATAAGTTATGTGATCAGAAAAATTATTTATATTTAAACTTTACATTTTATATTTTATTTTTTTAATAGTTTTTTTATTTTGTTATTATGTTATATTCACTATATTTAGAAATTAGAAAATCTTTGCTATAATATTAAGAGCGATATTTTGTTAATTAATTCGGATTTCTCATTTCTAATATGTTTCATATCTTGTAACCTTCCGGCTATCTTCCATTTCATTTATACACAATTTCCCACAAAAAAAGACTCCTCATACCACTGTGCTTTGCTGCCATTGTTGCCGCTTTGTTGGCCAGTACTTTGGATTTCCAGTTTTGGCCATGTTTGGCTTGCTGGCTACTGGCTGAGTGCACAAACACACACAGAGCCATGATGGGTGGCAGTGTGTGCGCCTGGCTGATGTCAATCCATCATTTGCCTTAACACCATGATTTGTTTATTTGACGAGCTGTATTAAGAGAAATGAAACACAATTGCCATTCGAGCTTCACTGCTGCTGATTGCCATAAATAAATAATTTTCAAATCAGACACTGGCCGAATCCTCGCAAACGGATAGGATAGGATAGGATGGGATGTGTGGAGCCTGATGCCTGCCTGCATGCCTGATTAGGCCCTCAATTGTGTGGATAGTTTTGATATGTTATAAGGCAAGGGGGGGAGAACCTATTTCGTATTAATATTAAATCAAAATAAAACATATGCTTAACGGTAAGTGGAAACTCTTGTCACTTGACGCACCTGGGCTCCTATTCTTCCCAAATTTATGGCTCATTTTTTTTTTTGTTGTGTTTTGTTTTGGCCAATAAAACCCAGAGAACAACTTCCTTTTTTAATAAGCTCGTAAAGTAACAGCCACTTAAAACTTGTTGTTGCCAGCAGGGCAGCAACATCAATAAACGAACTCGAAAGGAGCTGCCAAATAAGCCGTGAACGAGTTCCGCCTCCGCCAATGCCACATAAACGTCAGTGCCACATCATCATCAGCATCCTCGTCCCCCTCGACTACGAATGACTGTCGCAGTCTGTTTATAGAAATTAAATAACTTCTGACAAAATATGAACACAACTCAACACTTGCCATATATTGAACAGAGAGCGACACAATGGGCCCCAGTCCCAGTTTTCCCCCTTTTTTTCTCAAGACCCCGCAAGACCCCATCTCAGTCCCCAATCCCGGGCCACATTTGTGGGCTGCTTCCTCTGGCCTCTTAACACTTTCGTCGTTTGCCGCCAAGTCAGGCCGAGTTGTTAGCATATTTTTAGTGTGATTTTAAAAATTTAAATTGTCGTAATCGTAAATTAATTTCATGGCACATAAAAATGCAGCACAACGGAACACAGACAATGTTTTTCTCTGGGCTTTGTGTGTTGTTTTCTCGTTTTCCTGTCCCCGAAATGATGCTACGTTTTATAACGCAATATATTCAAAATACATTTCCCTTTTTTATTGTTTTTTGAGTGTGCTCAGTTGGCAATCAGCGTTTTTACAAGAGTTTCATTTGAATACCAAGTGCAGCTGAGTTAATCATAATAATAGTGGGTGTGTCTTAAAAATATATATATAATTGTTTTTGTTTGTTTTAGTTTGATTTAAGAAATAAATATTAATAAAGCTGATTTAATATTATTAGTTTTACAACTTTTAATGACTTATTATTTAAGGACATAAATAGATAATAAGAAGAATCTCCTGATAACTTTCCAATACTAAAGAGGAAGTGATGGTTTTCTTCTAAAACAACTTTTTTTATTTCTTAAAAAAATATACTTGTTTCTGTCAACCTTTCTAAAGTATCATATCTTCAATTATTGTTAAAACCATATCTCATTTAAGTAACTAATTAACGAGAAAACTAGTAAATTTCAATAATACCTTAGTTTCTTTTATTTTTTAAATAATACCCCTAAATGTACATGACTTGGAAATAATTGTAGTTTTTAGAAGATGCATTAAAGAGTCGTAAAAGCATTATATTCAACAGTGTCTTAATGAGTTGTGTAAATTATTTATGCCGCCGACATTCGACTGCACACAAGTCGGGCCTGCATGCGATATATGTGTCAACGCCTCATAATAATTACGGGAAAAACGGCGAAAATGTGTTGCAAATGTATAAAGTTATATATAAATACACATCAAGTGCAATTAGGCAGGAAATGCCGGCATGTGCAATTCGGTAATTGTTTCCTCAATGTGACAAGTCACTCGAAGGTGTGAAAAATCGTCCACATTCGGTTAGAATATCTATTTATTTGCCCCAGCTCCCGCCATATATTAATGATGAATTAATGCGGTAAATGCAACTTGTAAATCTGTCACGCGTCTCAGTAAATCATCCTGCATAAGTAATGTGCAGTTTAGCCCAGAGAAGAGAGGCAACATCCAGAATCGATACTCCCCTCGAACCACTTTGTCACTCGAGACACTGCAACAGATGCTGAACAAGACGCGGTCGTGGCGGGGGAGTGTGAAATTGTGTGCGCTGCCACGACTGAGGGCGGTCCGCGGCTAATCTATGACAGAAAACATGTAATCGGAGCAACTGAGCGAGCCGAAAATAACTTGGAGCTGGGGACAGCGACCGTGAACGGGATCGGTCTCGGAATCGGGATCGGTATCGGGACCTTTGTCTTCATTTGCAGCTCTTTACTTTGCAATATTCCCAAAGGTCGGGCACTAAAGTTCCTTGGGCGGCGATCGTGCGCCCAATTAAAGTCACAAACTGCGTTTTACAGCCGAATTTATTTGTTCGAATTAATTATGGTGCACTTGGAAAAAATTCTACTTAGACCGTTTTTCCATAGATGAAAAATATCAAAATATCCAAATTTTGTGTATCCAAAAATCTTTAAAATTACCAAGTTACAAAATTCTGAATAAAAGGAAAGGATAAATGTGGCAAAAAATAACACAGAATTCAGGAAACAAAAAAATAGATTAAAAATAATAATAATTCTTTAGTTTTCATCCTACAAAAATGTTGGAAGTACTAGCACTTTGGTATTACTTTTATAATTCCCAACTGGTTCTAACATCAAAGTATATACAGTGGCGAGCACATGTTTTTGCTATTACATTGTGCTATTACATATGTGTTATTAGATAGTTACTCTAAAAGCAACTGAATTTATTCTTAATTCAAGAAATATTACCCAAAAAAATGCAATTTTTGTTTGACAAAAATTACAAAAAGTTTTCCAATCATATTTAGTTAAGTAGACAAATTTTCTTTCTGTGCATGTCCTGTGCACTCGTCCCCATTGGCAGCTCCGTCTGGGGGCGGCACTTTCTTTTTATGACTGCTCTGCTGCCGTCGAATAAGTGAAGCGTGAACTAATTGAAATTTGTTGCGCTGACATGTTCTACAAGATCTGCTTGCTGTTGGGCGACAGCGTGCAGACGCTGCCCTTGTCGATCGTCTCCAGCTCATTAGCCGGCTTCCCGTCGTAGTTATTGTCTAATTTTAATTAATTTATCACAAGCATAAAGTGGCGCAACTTGTGACATTTCCCCCTAGCCGTTGCTCCCGCAACAAATCACTCACACGCCTCGGTGACCGCCTGGAAGTCCTATGGGGGAGCCACTGCCATCGCTGCCCGCCTAGGCATAAATTTCCACCACAGATTCTTGGCATTGCTGGGCAATCAAAATGGAATTTACGACAACTTGGGAACGGGTCTTTTATTTTGACATGCTTTACAAACAGACGAACTTGCAACAGCTCATTTGACATCGTCATTTCGGATGCCGCAACAGGTACCAGATACTGCATATATTCAACATAAAATGTATGAAATATGGAAGGGAATCGACATTAAAAACAGAACTTCCACAGATTCTTCCAGGTCTCCCGCTTGTAGACGTTCTTGTAAGTCTGCACGGACACCTGAAGCTCGGGACCAAAGGGAGTGTCCGCCTGGACGTGTTCCACTGCCAGATTTTGGTTTGTCACTGCGTGAACAATAATCACGGGCTCGTTTACCTACAAGGTTAATACGTTGTAAGTAGGTATTGTTAAAATTCAATAAATAAAAAAAAGGAAGCTATTTTTGGCATACTGAAGTTGATATACCCTTGCAGTTTGCCATTTGATTTTTGAGAATCCAGCGAAATACATAGCCCTACATTTATTTGTAACAATATTCAACTTTTGATGATTTTCTGAGGCTTTTTCATTTAATTCTTTAATTTATAATTTCTTAAATTTTAAAAATGTTCACTATTTCGCAGCTATATTATATAGTCTTCCGAACTTCCGCCTTTTATACTTATTAGACTAAAAAGAAGTCTTTCTATAAAGTTTTGTTTAGATAGCTCCTTAACTGAGAGACTATCAAAGAGGAGCAGACGTTTACGGCTAGATTGATTCGGCTGTTGATGCTGCTCAAGAATATCAAGCAATATCAAGCAGTTCTCTACAATTGCATACCCTGGCATTCAAAGCATACTACTTAACTAAACCTTAGCTTAAGCTTCCGATTTTCGATTTCTACACCAACAAAAGGAAATTTGAAAATTGATCCAGATCCCTAATCAAAATCTAATTTTAAAATATAAACAACTTACAGGAATGGTTTTGCCCTCGCTCTCGTAACGCAGATCAGGATCCTTGTGGGCGCAATAGAAGTGGGTGTGGGAAACGGGCACCCGGGCATATGGACCGCAGTTCTAAAGGATAATATACAAGATATAAGATACCCATTTCTAAAACTAAACTTAAATCAAAAACCGACCTTGCTAGAAACCACGCCCAGTGGCAGCGTTAGCTCGCCATTTTTGGTTGTATACCGACCCGTGTCCACCGGCAGCGACAGATTCATCCGCTTGGGTCCGCTGTACAAGTACATGGGCTCATCGACAGGATCCAGGGTCTGGAGGCGAAACTTCTCGCCATAGCCCAGACACTGGCCGGATCGATCCTCATCGTCGGGACTGACAATACGGAAGCTGCTACGCAGCGTGGAACGTGGCGAAGGTGCCACCGTCAAGTCGCACATCTCGTTGATGGTGGTGCACTTGCGGATCATGCCCTCATGGGTGATGATCACCGAAAGGGCCAGGTTCTGATCCACCACCTGCTGGCGGCAAATGCTGATCTTGACGGGCCGCACCTGAAGTGTAACCCCGAAAGCGACCACCTCCTGCGGCGGCCCCAGCATGGTGTCCTGATAGAAGTGTTTATAGGCGGCGCGCGTCGTGTCCAGTAGGGTGTTTCCACCCTGTTGCATGTCTTTCACGCGCATCTATATATTTCATTTTATATTTTATTCCACCTTTCATCTGCATAAAATGCTCACCTCCTCTTGTAGGGCAGTCTCCTGCCAGTAGCCAACTTTTACGCCAGGACCATACATTTCGCAGCAATGACGCGACTAAAAATAAGTTTTCTTTATGTCCCAGTATCCAATTTTCGGTGTAGTGTTTAACTTCCGGAACGAGTGGGTTTTTCTAGTGACAAAAAAGTAACTACTTACTGATTAAAAGGCTGCTTGTCATACGTTGAGTGTTATAAGACCTATTATGACAGTTTTAAAGGTATCCCAACATCCGCTCTGCAAATTGTATAATCATTTGTTAATTTTTAGATTTTGGACTAATTTTGTCATTACTTCATGATCTCCCTCTGTGCAAGTTTTATAATCATTTACCCATTTTAAGCTTTTTGTCATAATTTCTTCTTTCTATAAAAAAACAAACGTGTTATTACCTTCTGCTTGTCATACGATCAGTAATGCCTATTATAACATTTTTATACCCTTGCAGGGTATTATAATTTCAGTCAGAAGTTTGCAACGCAGTGAAGGAGACGTTTCCGACCCTATAAACCATATATATTCTTGATCAGCATCAACAGGGAAATATTTCTAGATATTTCAGGAAGAAATCGATTTTTTGGCCATTTTTGCAAAATTTTATAAAATCATCATTAAAATTTTTGATTTTGAAAAAAAATTTAATTTTCAAAATTTTTAAATGAAGCATGCAGATTTATTAACTGTAGAAAATCTTGCACAGAACAGTTTTCCGATTTAAAATTAATGCTCTTTTGGCCGAGTTATAATATTTTTAATTTAAAAAAAAATCAAGAAGTTTTTTAATATAAAAAATCCGATTTTATAATACAAAATAATATTTTTCTAAGTCAAGGAATCATTTCCGGCCCCATAAACCATATATATTCTTGATCAGCATTAACATGCGAATTTTTCTGGACATGTCCGGAAGAAATCGATTTTTTGGCCATTTTTGCGAAATTTGATAAGGGGTTACATCATTAAAATTAAGAAAAATGGCCAAAAATTGTGATTTCTTAAAATTTTAAATTTGGTATGCATTTTTTTTTGGGCTTATAAAAACTAACACAAAACCGCTTTTCGAATCGAAATTAATGCATTTTTGGCATAGTTATGCTATATTTTAATTGTTACCTGCAAGGGTATACAAACTTTGGCTGGCCAAAGTTAGCTTTCTTTTTTGTTTTTATTTTTTTAATTATTTATTTATTTATTTGAAAGGTTTGGTAAATATGGTACTAATTTGTATGAACCTAGACTACTTATTTCTAAATTCCAGCTTAATAGTGCTATAAGATTCAACAAAAAGTGACTTATAGAACAGCGAGAGGTTTGATATTTTTAAAAGGGTTAAAACGGACATGGGCGTTATTACACTAGGCTTCATACCCGATAAAAGTAATGGTAATTCCCCTCCAGAAACAGATCAAAGATAGTTCCCTGCTTTGACCGAGCCACACACAAAGCCATCGCACCGGCAACTAACCGAGCATTAAATTTGCATGTGGCGCTTGAGTGTCGGCCTCGGCTTTGATCCTGTCAAAGAGGCGAAAATAAATTGCTCAATTATGAAATATTAACTGCACACGATGGCGGCGAGTAGCCGAGTGAGTGAGTGAGTAAGTGAGTACCCACGGCGCAAGTTAATTACTCATTTGTTGATTGTCGACTGTGGTTAATGAAGTATCCAACTAATTACATTTCGAGACAAAACCGAGAGTGCGCATGTCGTCAGCCGCTCCAGCCTGGGCCTCTCCAAGGAATTCCCGTTCACATTGAAAAATGCCGCTGCGGAAATTGAAAGTGCCGCGGGCCTATTTCCACCAGCTGCCGAGGAGTCGGTTACTTGGAGCCGGGACCCGGAGCTGGAGCTGACTGACAGCAATTTATTACCTATCCCTTTGACATCTTGACGCGGTGTCGCCATCCCTCCCGCATCTCAAATAGTTTCCTTGAGGCGCTGGAATTACTCGCATTCATCTTTTGACAGCGAAAAGTCATCGCTCTGGAAGTCTAATTAGATTATTAGTCAGTTCAGCGTGATGATAGTTGATGAAGGGGTTCGGGGGAGGATTCAGAGAGAACTTGCTCAGAAATTAGGGAATCTTTACCTTATTAAATTTATGAAGTGAATTCTGTATTGATTGCATTTATGAGAATTTTTTAGCATATTAAAATACATATACAAATATATATACTTACATTTTCGTACACAGAAATAATTCTTGTGGGTTAAATAAACAATTTCTTTTGGTTGAATTACAGTAAAGCTATTATTATTATTTATTATTATTATAATTCCATCTTCTACAGTATTTCAAAATCAGCATCAACAGGCTAGTCGATCTAGACAATGAAACCTTAATCGATAATAGCTTTATATTTGGAATACTTAAAAATACTTTAGAGAAAATAAGATAAGAAATATATTAAATTATCATAAAAGTTCACTTTTCCAAGTGCATATCAGCAACACCAACCGATGCAATTTAGCCATGTCCGCCTGTCCGCCTGTCCGTTAGTGTGAAGCAACATATCTCAGAGAATATAAGAGCTAGAGCTATTAAAATTGGTAACAAGATGGGTATCTAGAATATGGAAATCAAGTTTATTTTAAATTAATTTTATTATTATTTTTTTACATTTTTTTTAATGTGGCCACGCCCACAACTTCGTTTTTCGCCATGAAAAGCATCCATAATCTATAGTCCATCAAACTTAACTGCAGCTTTCTTTCTAGTTCCAGCTGAAATAATGGATTAACTCCCAATTTTGGATCATTTTCTATACGATTTATAAAATAAAGTTCTAGATTTTTTCTTAGTCTTTTATTTGAATTTCCTTTTTATTATATATATATTTTTGTTGTTGGTTTTCGCTTAAATAAACAGGAAACAATTAACTTATCATTATTTTTACAATTAGCTTTAATTAGAAATAATAAAAAATATTGAAGCTTTTCGTTTTTTTTTTTTGTTTTCTTTTCTTTTCTTTTTTTCATTTTCTGTTCTGTTTACAGTGTTTATATGTATGCATTTAGTTTACAATAATTAGTTTAAATGGTACTGTTTATATTCAATTATTATAGGTTCGCATGTACTATATATACATTTCGGCAGCGAGGAGCGGACTCGACCCACAGCCAAATAATCCTGAATATATATCGCTATATAAGAAGTTGATATTTGGCGTTGTCACATTTCCACTTTTATGTTACAAAATTTAGTTAATTCGACTACTAAATATATAAATGTTACACAAGTGTAGGCGTAATGCTGCGCTGCTGCTGCTTCTTTGTTTTATTTGATTTAAATTTAACTCGTTTAATGTATAATTCCATTAATTGTTTTTACGTTCTTTTCTCCTCTTCTTATCGTTCTTTAAGTTTACAATTTTCGTTAGAATTTCTGTGTTTTTTTTTTTCTCATTTTTTTTTTATGTACATAAAAACAAAAGGAACTATATATTTCAGTCTTTTTAGTGTGTGTATGTGTGTGTGTGTATGGGTAATATATGTATGTATGCGTGTGTGTGTGTAGAATATCTATTGTTTTGTTATGCAAATAGCGTATTACATAGTTTAATTAATTTAATAGTTTTATTATTTTTTTTATTTTTATATTATTTTTTTACTTCAGTTTTCAGTGTAAATATCGCTTGCTTCCCAGTTTTGTTTATATAATTAGCCCTAGTTCTTCCTTCTCTCTGCTTACTTGTTTTTTTTTTTTTTTTTTTGTTAATTTATTCAAGTTATTCTCTGCCTCACTCTCTCATCCCTTCCTCCTCTCCTTCTTACATGCGTGTTTACAATCTAAGTATTTTGTATAATTCATTTAAATATTTAGTTTCCTTGTTTCTGCTTTGCATTTATGTGTATAAATTAAAAACAAATGAACGTTGTTGCACATGCTTCTGGTTCTTCGTTTCTGCTTTTCTTTTCGTTACTTTTCTCTATGCTTTTGTCATACGTATCATATATGATCTATTATAGTTAAATATATTTAATAATATAAAGAGCGAAGGCAAATATCGAATACTTTTGTTGTTGTTGTTGTTTTTCGTTTTAAAAATTCCATTTGCTGTAGTTGTTTTCTGTCTGTTTGTTTGTTTATTTGTTTGTTACTAAGTGTGGCTGTGTATTGTTGCTAAATTTGGGTTCCGATTTTCGAAGAGAATGTGTGTTGGGTGACTTTGAATGGGACTTCGTCGGGATGAACTGTTCAGGATAGTACACTCAGCAAACATATCACGTTCAGTTCCTAATTACGTATGTGTAAATGTGTAAATATATATGTGGTACATGGTATATGGTATATGCATCCTTTGTCTATTGTTTTTTTGCTATTGCTAATTCATTAAATATATATATATATATATATATCTGCAAGTGTATATGTGGTAAGAAAAACGAAAATCCGTCCAGTTTCTTGTTCGTATTTGAGTTATAATGGCGTATGGCAGAATAGTGTTGTTTGCTATGGAGTTTTTGTTTCGATTCGTTTTTAGTTTTGCTTTCATGTATATAGTTATGGTACATAAAATGCTTTTGCTTCCCATTCATATATCTGGTATATATAAAAACGATAGCAGATTGTATACAGTGTTATTATGATGCATCAGTTACTTAAGCTCTCAGTTCGAATTACATTATGGTTTTAATTTTTGTTTTCATATATATAGTTCATCTCCTCTCGAAGCTTGGCTTCAACGAAAATTAATTTAGAAAATAAAAAGGATAAAACATTGAACATGGGTTTTTGTGTTCTGCAAAACCTATTCCATTTTTATCCTACATGATTTGCCTTATGTACAAATAAATATTACAATTAAGCATAAACAAAAAGGGAGAAGAAAATTATAAGAGAAACTGTGTGCTAATCAAGCAACACTTGGTGCTAAAAGTTGACCCATGCAGTTATCAAATGAATCTGAGTACGTTTATAAAAGGATAATTATAAATAATTATGGATAATTATAAATAATTATGGATAATTATGGATAATTACGGATAATTATGGATAATTATTGATAATTATGGATAATTATGAATAATTATGGTTACAATTGCTAAAAACTCAGTGAAGACAGTTGTTGTTTTGTAATTTTGTATTGCTTGCTGTGTGTGTGTGTGTTTGTGTGGTTGTTTGGTAGGTACTAATAAAAAATTATCGTAATTAACATATGTACGTAGTAGTTATGAGTTATGTTTAATAATTGGTAGAAATTTGTATGTCTATTTTAAACGGTACTTAGGTTGGTTGGTTGTTGGCTTTTGTACTTTTTGTTATTTGCATGTAGGACTTCATCTTCTGTTTTGTTTTCTTCTGCTTTAACTATCGTTTTCTGCTTCTCTCTTTCTCTCTGTCTCTGTCTCTGATTTTTCTATTGCGGCAGTTTATTAATTTATAAACAAACACAACAAAAAAAAAACTGTAGCGTAAATACTAAACGAAATACGTAAACATAAATAGGCTTAAAAAAATATGGGGTATTAAACATGTACAGTGGTTTCTTCTGACGAATCTTCCTAGGAGGCGGGCTAAGTAGATAATCTTTGAATAATTTTAGTGGAGTTTGCAATTTAATAAATTATTTTGACATTTTTGAAATTGAAAAATTCCAAAGTCGTCTCGCATTTGCCTCTAAAATTATCCATAGGTTAACCTTAGACCCACCCGTAGTTTGCAGACTTGGCTTAAAGTCCAAGTCAAGATCCTAACGACTCAATCCTCCTCCTCCTTCTCCTTATCCTCTATGTACACAGTTTTCTCTACCAAAGTAAAGAGCAGGATTGTAGGTATTATTATTATTATGCCTCCCTGCCAATGAAGCCATTCGGTGGCGGCGGTCTCGACGTCCCACTCGCCGGCCGCAGCCAGCTCTCCTTTAGAAGATTGGACATGTTGCCCGCCGTGGTCGCTGTGCCTCCCACACCCGAGTTTGGATTTGTGGGCGACTTCTTTCTCGTTTGGCTGACACTGCGACTGCGACTGGGCGGCGCCGACTTCTGCCTGGGCCGACTCAGCGGCATTCGCTCCATCTTGATGTGCTCCACATGCACGTCATCGACATCGTCATCCTCGTCCTCCTCCTCATCGGCCTCCTCCTCCTCCTCGTTCTCGTCGGAGGAGCTGCTCTGTGTGGCATTTATGGGCGCCATCATCGGCTGATAATTCGGATTGTGACTGATCGTCACTCCGGCCATCTGGACCGGCGGCGTGGGCTCATTCATGGCCACATAATTGGGATTGTCGGTGGTGACGCCACCACGACCCGGCGGTGGATGCATCATCTCGTAGTTGGGATTGGGACTGCTCGTGGTCAGAATGGTGGCCTGCCCGTCGCTGCCCATCGATTCGTCCAGCAGACGGTAGTTGGGATTATCGCTGATCGCGATTGGTGTGACCGCGGTCGGAGTGTAGAAGCGTGGCGTCCCCGTGTAACTACCCGCCGAGCCGCTGCCGCCGCTCTCGATCGTCCCCAGGTTGCCCATGGCCACCGGATGGCTGGTGAGATTGGAGTTGCTCGTGCTGGTGCTGGGCGCATTGGAGGCGTTGCTCTTGTGGCTGGCATTGCTGCCCGTGCGCTTGTGATGATTGAACAGGTGGCGATTGAACATGTTGGCTCGATTCCGCAGCGTATCCGCCACCACTCGCTTGAGGCTGGGATAGCGTCCGGTGTGGGAGCTGGCATTGGAGCTGGCCGCCGAGGCGGTTGAGGGCTGCAGGGACGACGATCCACCGCCTCCGTGTCCGCCACTTCCAATCACATCATCTGGCATGGAGCTGCTCATGATGACCGGCTGCTTTCCAGTTTTCCTAGGCAGTAAATGCTGCTCTCCACTCAGTCTCCCGCCGCCGCCCGTGCTGCCACTCCGGCTCGTGGGCAAATCGGCGAAATTTGGACTCGGATCGTAAATCTCGTAGCCACGTTCGTTGTTGTCCGTATCCGGCAGGACATAAGGCGCCGTGGCATCGTCGCTCTGCGAGGCGGGAAGATTCTGGAATGCAGACACCATCACCGTTTGGTTATCCGGCGTGCTGCTGGCTATGAAACCTGACTGCATGCTAAACGGCGAGTGCGTCCCCTGGTGATCATCCACGACCAGGGCAATGGGACTCTCCGCCGGCTGATCCAAGGCGGAGTTCTGCTTGTAGGTCTGATAGTCGCCCATCCGCAGGGGCGTGGTGGCATCCTCATTCTGCTCCGCCTCCTGCTGGTCCTGGTCCAGTGGCACCGCCGCAAAGGCGTCCAGCTGACTGCGCTCCTTGCGCTCCTTCTCGCGATGCGTCTGCCCGCTCTCCGAGTAGTAGAAGGAGAACCTCTTGAACTCCGAGTCGGGGCACTGCGTCTCCAGATAGGCAATTATATCCAGGAAACTGGGCCTGGCATTGGGCCGGTGATGCCAGCAGCGTTGCATCAGCCGGTGGAGCAGGTCCGGGCAGTTCTCCGGCCTCTCCATCACGCCGCCCTCGATGACGAAGCGAAGGACCTGCTCGTTGGAGAACCCTTGATATGGCTGAGCCGCCAGTGTGGCCATCTCCCAGAGCACCACACCGAAGCTGAACACATCACTGGCACTGGAGTAGACACCGTCTCGCAGGCTCTCCGGCGACATCCAGCGAACGGGTAACAGACCCTTGGTCCCCTTGCGGTAGTAATCCGTCTCGTAGACATCCCGCGTCATGCCAAAGTCACCGATCTTCACGGTCAGGTCTTCGGCCACCATGCAGTTGCGGGCGGCAAGATCGCGATGAACGAACTTTTTGGCCGCCAGATAGGCCATACCATCCGCAATCTCAATGGCCATCTGGTAGATCCGGCTGTAGGTCGGCGGCTGCACATTGCCCGTGACTCCTATCCGGGTGAGATAGGCCATCATGGCCTCATCCCGCTCCTCGGGACGATGGGCCCGCAGGTAGGACTTGAGGTCGCCCTTCTTCATCAGCTCCATGACCACCAGGGCGGGCTGGCCGCGCGAGCAAACGCCCAGCAGCCGGACCACATGGTGCGTGTCGAACTCCTTCATCACGCTGGCCTCGCTCAGGAAGTTGGTCCGCTCCCGATCCGTGGCATTCTCGTTGACCGTCTTAATGGCGCAGGCGCGATCCTCAATGCCGTTGCTGAAGGACTTGATGATGCCCTCGTACACCATGCCGAAGGATCCCTGTCCGAGGGGCGCCAGCTGGATGATGTTCTCCCTGAGCACCTCCCAGTCGTCGGGTATGTACTGCATGCTGGCATAGAACGGATTCACCTCCGTGTTCATGTGCAGATCATTGGGTCGCCGTTTCTTTTGCAGGTACCGGATGTAGCCAAGCAGGAAGGCAAACGCCAGGACAATGACAATGCACAATATAACGGCCATGGTAATGTAGTAGCTCTTCATAGGCTGGAATACGAATGCAAGGATTTAGTATCCCTTATGGGAGTACTTTCAGTTATATCCCAAACTCACCGTCACGATAATGGTTTCAGGTTCCGTGTAGACGCCAAATCCTGCCATGGAATTGGCCCGCACGCGCATACGGTATAGGCCATCGCTGACACCCTTGAGGAGGTAGCCCTCGGTGGCACTATAATTGGCCACTGGGATGCACTTGGTCTCCACCGTGTCCGATTTATCCAATTGATATTCCAGCGTGTAGGTGAGAATTTCACCGTTGGGATCGAGCGGTGGCAGCCAGAAGGCTCGCACAGCGGCTCTCGTATTATTTCCAATTTCCAAGGTTAAGGTCAAATTTCGGGCCTTGTCAACGTCCTCTGAAAGGGTGAATACTTTATGATTAAAATCTGACCAAAAACCATCCCAGCAACCATTTGGAGGATCACTCTTACAATAATCCCCTAGATAAATCTTTTCTGAGTCGTTGAAATGAAACTGACTCGAAAATAACTCATAACCAGAAGGAGCTAACTTCGGCACGCCACAGTTTTTATTTTGCGTAAAATTTGATTGAAATATTATTCGAAGAAGAGTCGGTTATAGTTCAATGAAAGGGTTATAAGAGACTCTTTTATGATCACAAAACGGGCGCATTTATGCTCATTTAGATCAGAAAAGGGGATTTGATAAAGACTCAAATTTGATCAGAAATTTCATAAAATGCTAGATGGAATCATGATACAATGACAAAATTCCAAAAATATATTCCTTTTTGGAGGTTTTTGATGCGCTGAACTTGAATCCTGCCTCAGAAAATTTCCCTTTCATCAGGTTTTTGTGATATTTCATCTTAAAAGTGCAAAAAATACGGTTTTTGGGTAGTTTTGAGGTGCTGTAATACGTTTTTTGGGTACTTTTGAGGTGCTGTAATACGGTTTTTGGGTACTTCTGAGGTGCTATAATTCGGTTTTTGGGTACTTTTGAGATGCTGTAATACGGTTTTTGGGTACTTTTGAGGTGCTGTAATTCGGTTTTTGGGTACTTTTGAGGTGCTGTAATACGGTTTTTGGGTACTTTTGAGGTGCTGTAATTGGGTTTTGGGTACTTTTGAGGCGCTGTATTCATTACGTTTTATTTTTTCAAAACGTTTGTAACGCTATCATACAGTACTGTTCTTAACTACAATATAAGTTTTCAAAATTAAATAAAAATCCTTATGTATCTTCGAGATATTGTCTTTAGAAATTATATTGTTATTATCAAATATATTGTCAAATTCGACATACTCAGAAATATATGGAAAAATATCGATATAAATTCAAGAGACGATATCTCAGAGTCCAATAATAATTTTTAAACATTTTTAAAACTAATTTTTGAGGGCAAGAACAGTTCTTTAAGATGCCGTAACGATTGTTGAAGAAAAAAATATATTGAAGCTACAGCACCTCCAAAGGAGCTGTAATCAATTATGCCAGTATAGAACTTACCCCTTTTCTTGGTTACTTTATAGTTTGTAGAGTTATTGCTGCAGGCCTGCTCCATGTCATTTTCAATAACCTCTCTGCACACACTTATGAAGATGGTGTACCGCGTAAAGTGGTGTAAATTCTCAAAAGTGAAGTTCGTCTGATTGATCGGCACTACCACAAAGTTATCCGTTAGGTTTACTATCGTTTCCGGGCCGTTGGTGACATTCGCCGTTTTGGCTAGGTTCAAGGCCTTGTCCTTGGCGTCTGGGGCGGTGGAGCGCACATGACGCAGCAATACACTGCCGAATCGTTCATCCAAGTCGGGCTCCAAGTCGTCGGCTTGCCGGCGATGGCGAGTGGGCTGATTCCCGATGGCATTGGAATCAAAGGCAGCACCGCTTGCTGGCCTAATAACTCGAGGAGCTCCCTTGGCCGCTGATCCCGACTTGTTTTTGTCGACGCCGTGAAAGTCCTTTTTCGGAACATAGATAAAATTCTGCAGGGTATTCTCAAACTCTATGTGGGACTGAATCCTACGATCGCTGTACATCTCCTGGCTGTTTTTCGGGGCACCTGTGGCATCACATTTGCAGTCACCGGGCAATGGATCCGGCTTCAAATCTGGCTTCGGTGCTTCGATCTCAGTGTCAATGTCACTTGGCTTTGTAATAGCTGCAAGAATAACATTTTTATGTTAATTTATTTTTCAAAATGAAGAAATATTAAAGATTGTTGCCCCTTGTAATCCCTCATCCGTAGGATTGTTAAAGCAAAAAAAATAAATAAATAAATAACTTACGATTCTCGCAGTATTGTCGTTCCGACGGCATATCCTTGGGATTATTGGTATGCTGCTCTTCCCGCTCCGCAATGAGTACAAAGTGCGTTAGCTTTCCGTGTGGCCTAATGGGATATTCCCACGTCACATACTGTAAATCGTAGAAAATAGATTAATTTTTAATAATTTGTAATATTTGAAACGTATGATTTCCAGATACTTACAATTTTCGAGTCCGAGATGGAGGTGAGCTTAACTTTGGACACCTGAGATGGCTGTGCGGGCTTTGTCACAAAATGCTGCACCTCACTCTGGGCATTTGTCAGTTCCGAGAAAATGGCCTTGGTGCGCACATAGTAAGCATACTTTGTGTACGGTTGCAGGTTCATAAATGTGGTAACTCCCTTCGTGTCCGCCGGCACAAATGTCCAGGGATTGTCGCAGAGCTGTTCGTTGCTCTTGGTGGCATTACCATGAGGATCAATCATGTAAAAGAACTCGTAGCCGATAAAGGCGCGAGGATCCTTGAAAATAATCGTGGCATTGCTTGGCCCAGTCGGTTCGCCCTCCGACACCATCGAGGTGTCCACCTTTAAGATGGCCATTATGGCGCTCACATGTGATACCGAAACGTTTAGAGGCAAGGTGCCACCTGGGAAAAGAAGAAGGAAGAATTTACGAAAACATTCCAAACTTCGACTCAAAAATCACTCACATGATCCACGGCTTCCGTTGGAGTCGGTGGCCACCTCGCTATTGTTAAAGGACTGCGGCTTGGAGGCCAGCATGGGCAGCAGCTTGTTGATCGTAGACACGCACAGCTTTTGATTGAAGTGAAAGAAGACGCCGCCATTCCTGATGTACACCGTCTGGTTGGGTCCCCATATCTCCTCCAGATCGTTATTCTCCAGCACATACAGAGCATATTGATTTTTGTCCATTGGTGGGTCGCCCACAATTTCCGTTAAAGATTTAAAAAACCGCAGAGAGGTCAGTCCGAAGGTTAGGTGCACCTTCAGAGAGGTTTTTATGGTACGAATCTGACCCAGATAAAGCTCCAGAGTGTCCATCACGTGAGCTGTGCAAAGAGAAATGAAGAAAATGTTAGTTTCACAGGGAAAAGAAGATGTTGTAATTGTTTACTTACCATCGCCCTCACGCTTTATGCTTATAACCAAGGGCTCCGTGGAGTTTCCTCCGATCACGGTGCAACCCTCGTATACCTTGGCCCTGTCCAAACTCTCGATAATGCCCGCTTGGCACACCCTTTCACACTTGCCGTCCTTGCACTTGATGCACCTGTGATTCTCTATCGAGTAGCCCTTCGGGCAGCGCGTGGTGCACTGGCCGGCAAAGGGGGCCAGAGGCTTGTCCCCGCTGTCGAACCGAGTGCCAATCTGGATGCACTCCTCCGCCGTAATGCAGCGCTTGTCGTACTGCAAAGTATGTGATTTTGTTATTTATTTCAGGGACTGTAATGGTTAACCCTCTAGGCCCCAAAAGTGCCTTGACTTATCATCAATGTTATTTCATTTTCTTGAAGTAAATTGTTAAATTTGTAATCAATCTCACCTGAAACAAGCCCGGCGGACAGGTGTCCACGCAGTTGGTGTTGTTGATCGACAAAAAGCGACAGCTTATGCATCTTTCGGTTCCATTGCTGTCGAGGGTGCAGCCCAAGCAGGCCTTGTTGCAGCATGTATCCTTGTCGATGCAGTTGTTCCGACACTCCTTGGGACACACTGTGCCAGGGAAAGGGAATCAAACAAGTTAAAATTTGATCTAACATTTATGAAACGAAAGGATTAAGTCATTTACTCACTTGTTTGGCAATGCTTGGAGTCCCAGCAGTAGCGTTTGTGATTCTCCTGCTCCGGACAGCCCAGGCTATGTACTGGCACGCTAAGCGCCGTGGTATCCTGGCCTTCACCGCTGACTTTGATCTCCTCCGCACACTTGGGGCAATCCTTTTCCTTGGCGTTCATCTGCAGCACCACCTCCGACTGGGTGGCATTCTCGGCCATGAGATGCAGCCAGTCTATCGTCTCCACGTAGCACAGAACCCGATTCTTCTCGATTCGCACACCGCCGTGCGAAATAGATCGCAGATTGGGGAGTCCCAAGTTCACCAAATCGGGATTCGAGTACACAATGAAGGAGTAACCGTCGAACAGATTGTTGCCCCGAATGACATTCAAGTTGGGAAATATTTGCGACAGCGAATGCAGACCGTTCACGCGAAAGACGACAATGAAGTCGGTGACCTCTTTCAGCAGGGGAAACGAATGATTTAGGTTAATGGTCACGTTCGACATCAAAGTGATGAGCAGGAAGCCCTCGATGGTGGTGCAGTTTTCCAGTAGATAGAAGTTCGCTGCAAAGTTTCGTATATCCATCGATTTGCAAGCTTGAAAAAAGAGAATCAAAAAATCATTTTAATATCCTGAATTTAGAGAGTTATCTTAAAAGTATATTTTCTCGGACAGATAAAGTCTTTCCTAATGAATAATATTTTTGTTAATACTTACTTGTTTCATTGCGTGACAATCGAACTATATCGTTTGTTTGGCTAACGTCTCTTCGCATTCGCGTGGATTCCACAAACATTTCCAACTTATCGGATAAATCGTCGCTGTTGTGGTGCTGCTGGTGATGTTGTTGGGGTAGCAACCTTCGTTGCTGCTGCTGCTGCTGCTGCATTGATTGCCCCGCAATTACTGTTGCTGTCGCATGATTGGCCAGTAAACTGAGACTTAATAATATCCAAATCAGACTTCGATTCCGGGGATGGTAATTGTTGTGTTGCTTTTCCGTTTGATGTGGTTTCTGCTGATTATGTTGTTGTTGTTTGTTGTAATTGTTACGGCTTAAACTCAGTCTTGTTGTTGTTTCTGCTGCTGCTGCCAGTGCGGTGTGAAACAGCAATAGGAATTTTGTATAATATAGATATTTATCTTGTAGATTTGTCGGCGGCACTGAGTGCTCTTGTCGTCGACGTCGCTTGTTGAAAATGCCACAATCTAACATCAACAACAACAGCGATTGCAGCGTCCGCAATATATTGTGACAATTGTTGTAGATTTTAAAATAGTCGCGATGTCGACGATTGTTTTTCGCAGCGTCTTCATCGGCGTCATCGCTCAAGCGATGGCCGTTACTTCGTATTTGACTCGTTTTGCCGGTTGTTGATTCCAATTTGGAGGTTGTTGTGTGCGGAAAAATGGTCCAACGTTCACTGAAAAGAGTTTATTTAAGTTAAATTTTTTAAATTTTATTAACGTTATAAAAAGGGTGGAAAACACGGATCATCCAAACCAGTTTCCGGTTCGCGTCTTTGTTTTATGCCAAAGCAGTGTACAAGCAGTGCAAATGTTGCTTACCTGTTAATATCAACTGCTTGCCGGCAGCAACATGTATCTAGCAACATATCTTGCCGGCACAACACGCAAATGTTGCTGCCAGCCATTGTTGTTGTTGCTGTTGGGAATACATCACCAGCCATTGTTGTTGTCTCTGCCTTCATCATTGTTGCATTTTCACGCTTCAACTTAGTTTTCATCATCGTTTGCCGTTTCATATTGAACATATTCCGGTGTGTTTCTCCTTTTACTTTAATTAGGTCATTTTTTTGCATTAAAAAAAAACAACACCTCAAGTAATCATCGTCGGACCCGCTTTTTTTGCAAGCTGTTTGCGGGAAAACTTTAATTTATTTTTTTTTATAGTCGTTTGGAATGATTTATTCAAGCTTTTTCCGCCTGTTCTCAGTGCCACTTTTGCCACTGTAATGAAAAAAGAGAGAATAATAGCAGAATGTTAGTTCTCAGGTAACAAAAAAGAAAAACAAATAGGAAGCTAACTAAGGACAGCCGAAGTTTGTATACCCTATGTACTCCTTAAGCTTTACTGGTTTTGTATCAAATATTTATTCATATTATGTAAATGTATTATGTTAATAAAATATAATGTTGTACTATTACAATATCGTTGATTAATCCCTTTAGCTGAAACCCTAAGAGACGAGTTTCTGTGCAAAAACATGGCTAGATCGATGATGCTAATGTTATGGCAGATGACTAGAACTATTATACCCTCTGCTAGGGTATGATAAACTACAATAATTACAGCAGCGCACGTAATTTTATGCCAGAAAGGGCGCCAAGTTCCAGGCACACGTGTCGAACGGCTTGCTATCGTCACCGGACGAAAGATCACTCAGTTTAATACACTTTTGACGCTCGCTTTGTTTTCCCTAATTATTGCACCTTAAATGGCTTACGTGGTGAGGCAAAGATAAAAAGTTAAGAGAAAAGCTATCTGCTAAACATTAGATACCTATTAGTGAATACATTGGGAATTGGAATAAGATTTAATATTAATATTTTGATAGTTAACTAACAATAAAACTATTTTTATTAATTTATATTTGCAAGATATGCTTAAATTATTTATTTTTATAAATATTTGTTGTTTTTTTAAGCATAGAGATTGCTATTCGCAACACAGAATCCACGACAATGGAATTGAAATCTATTTAAACTGCGTCAAAAAATACTTATAAGTTTATTAAGTTTTTTTAGACTAGCTTAAACCTTAAAAAAAAAAATTAAAAATTTGATTTTTGTTTTTTTTATTACTTTATTTAGAGCTCTATTTACTTTGTGCGTTTTTGTGCAATTTTAAAAATAAATTTGATGATTACCAAATTATTTAATTAACCTCTCACTATATCACTATATTATCAATTCTCAATCATTTTTAAATTGGGCAAATACAAAAAACAAAAAACAAAAGCACAAACAGCAAAGAACAGCTGAGAGCCGGCTTGCTACAGTGGCATCTCGCTCTCGCCCGTTGAAGACCAAGGGGAGAGCGCAGCTTTGCTAAGTTAAGCAATAAAAAACAAAGCAAACAAGAAAATAAATAATTTTATGCGACAGACAGAAGAATAATAGAATACCTAGAAAAAACAGCTAGCATACGGAGAGTGATTGTATTTGTAAGTAATGTTGTTGCTTTTGGCATTGATGTGTTTTCTTCGTTTTTTTCCCACAGTGCAAAAGCTGTGTTTGAAAACTATTAATACTTTAGATTTTGTTGGGCACTATTTTAAAGAGATTCCTCGTTTGCGTGTGATTTTATCACAATTAGCTATTGGTTCACCATATTGAGCGGGCACTGTGTCCATATTTTCATGACGCGCTATGTTCGATTGACGTCGACAGCGCAGTCGCGTCATAAAGCGGAGTAAGTCGTAAGTAGTAGGTGTACGTATGCGATTTTTGATTTTACTACGCTTGTAATTCATCAAAAGTTGCTCCCGTTTTTTTTTTTAACAGGGTGCCCCGTGCTGTTTGTAGTTTTCGGGGCGTAACATGGGAAAATGAAAATGCGACTGCGTGGCAAACAAAACAAAAACAAAACCAAACCAAACAGAGAGCGCAAAACGGAGGGAGTAATAAACACCACCCACTCTGTCTTGCTGTTGTTGTTGTTGCAAAAATTTGCTGCTGCGTAGTTTTTGGAAACGTAGTAGATGTACAATACAATCAAACACACGCAATTTCTTCATGTTTTGCACATTTTTTTCTAGCTTGCCGACAAAAAAAAAAGCGGCTCCTCTCTCGGCTGTCTGTCTCTCTCTCTCTCTCACCAAAATGCTGCTTGTTTATTATGCTTGATTTGTTATTGTTGTTGTTGCTTTTATTGCGCAGTAAAAATGTCGCGCTATAAATACATACATTAAAAAAAAAAACGACAAAATAACAACAATAATACAAATGTTCAACTAAAATTAAATGGTTATAAGTCATATAAAATAAAAAAAAAAAAACCGGCAAATACAAAATAATACAAGTAAATAAAAATATGCTCTCTGCCGCTCTCTTTGCTCTCTTCGGAATTATTTCTCTCCCGCTATATGGCTCTCAAACGGTGACACTCAAACTGTTTCATTTGTGTGTGTGCGTGTGGTGACCCAGATTACTTTAACTTTTTTTGTTTTTTTTTTTGCAGATTTTTTTTTTTATCATTCAACTAACTAAAAATAAGAAGACGACAATTCCGGTGAGCAACATTTCCGGACAACACACAAGCACAACACAACACAACATTGTCGAAAGACCTGACGCCTGCAGATGGCCGAGATATGGCAATATGATAATGATCATTTTTAATGTTAATAACAATGCCCAAAGTGTTAGCAAAGTTTTGAGAAAACAAAAATGGTGGTGCACTAGAAAAAAACATATAGGTACATACATTTAATTAAAATTAAATACTTATGTGTAAATAATAATACATTTTAGGAATGCAGTAAAAGGTAGTAAACATCAAACGATACACTCAGCTAATTTTGTATTTAATTATTTATCGATAAAATGAATAAAATATACATATAAAGAAGAAATATTATTCAAAATTATACAATATAGTTTAAAATTGAAGTTTAACTTTATTATATTAATCATATCAAATCAAGCAGAACATAAAATATCATTAATTAAGTAAGAAATCGCTTAGAAACGAATTTTAAAATTGATTTTTTTATATATATTTTAGATTTCATAATATTTTATAAAAAAAATTAAACATATTAAAGCAAGTTGTTGTTTAATTTGTAGTTCCTATAAACGAAATATAGCTTATCAAATGCCAAATTTTACAGAATTTTGTTCTAACTTTTAAAGAATTTAATAATCAAATGACTTCACAAATATTTATCTAGCATTAATAAGAAACCAAAAGCAATATTTAAATTATTTCTGAAAAATGTTGGAAATTGAATTATTTATATACTACGAATAATGACAATTGTGAGCTACAAAAACAATGTTTGCTTCGAAAATAATTGCTCAAAAAATTTGTATACGATTAGTAAACTTTTCAAACGATAGGATTTTAAAGAACTTGCTTAGTTTGTTGATTTTTCAAATATTTTATATATTTTATTTTACTTTTAAATAAAAGTTTCCCGCTTTCCAATTTGTTAGATCTTGGAAATAAAGTTGCTGCAGTGGCAAAACACGACGACGACGATGGCGGCGACGATAAGGGCAAAGGAAAGGGGCCAGGCGAAACTGGCTTGGCTTATCAGCGGCACTCATTTACACACATGGAAATTAACAACAGACGCTTCGCTCCGGTGTCCGGACGCTGGCGAGCGTTTTATTGTTTAATTTCGTTTAACGCGCCTTGGGCGCCACCGTGCACGCGCCTCGTAAAAAAAAAGTGTAAAAGTGTAAAGGTGCAATTGGCACGCCTAACTGACATTTGTGCTTTTTTTTTTTACAACTCATTGTATTTTTGTTTTCCCTTTTTTAAGTGCAATGGCGAATAACAACTATAACAACAAAATGGCAAAACAACTTAAGAGGGGCTTTTTTTAGTTTCTAGTTGGGAAGTACCGCTCTAAATGCATATTATCGACTATTATTGCTTGGAATTGTCAACAATTATCACTCTATTTGATAAATTTAAATAGTTTAAATTGAACATTTTAAGGTCCGATTTTTCGTTTCATTGTTAAACTTCCAATAAGCTATTTGACTGAAAAAGACAAGGTCCTAAGAATTCCATCATTTTAGACAAATCTGTTGTCTTGGCACCTGTAATTTATTTGAACGAAAAAGGATAACACAGAGTGCTGTAAAGTACCTGTTAAGTACGTTGCAATTATTCACATGTGCTGGTTAGGAAGTCTTCGCTAAACATCTGTGCTGCTTAAGTTATTTTTTAGTTGATTTTCTGAAATCGTATGTGGATTTGTAGAGTCGATAAATGCTTGACAGGAAGTCCGGTGCCCGTTAATGTTAGAAGAAAACCTTTTTATTTAGCACGGACTTTATTTGCCAAAGAAATTTTAGCAATGAAACGAGAAATCAGTCCGAAATGTATATTTTCGAGTAATTTAAAGCCTGGGATAATCTTAAATTGACAAATGCTAAAAAAATTTATTAAAATACACTAAATATATGACAACATTTATTGAATTTTAAATTAGAGCTTTGTTAAGTTATAGAACAATTAATTCTAATTACAAAATTTATAAAATTCAATGCTACGCACGCGCTGCACTCTTGTATTGCTGTTTTTTTTCACCACACATACAAATGCAGAAGCTGACTCATTGACGGAAAAGGGGGGAAAAACCGCCAGACAGAAGTACCAATAACAACGATAATAATAATAATAACAATACCAACAACCATAACGACGACATTGACGCAATAACGGGCAGAAAAAGGCCCACAGAAGACTCCGAAGAGAGATCGTTGGATTGCAGATTGGAGAATCAGAGACTCTGAGAGGCCGAAGCCAGCCAGCCAGCATTCCAATCGAAAACAAAGTTGACAGACCAGTTAAGAAGAACAACAAACACAAATACAACAACAGGCCACAACAGAAGACGTCGGAGAAGGAGGAGGAGGAGCAGGCCAGACCAGAGTTCGCTCGCTTATTGAAATATTTCCTATGCTCCAAATCCAAAGTCTTTTGTTTTCCGACTTTCAAAGCAACCGAACCGAACCGAATCGAACCGAATGAGAACAGGAGGAAAACAATAAAATTGTCGCATTATGATAAGCTCGGATAGAGATCAGGCCAGACTCACTGGAGATATGACCAATCAAAAACCTGATTGAGAGCCAGTCGGCCAGCGAGTCAGCCGATCGAAATTCCAACTCGATATCGATGGGCTAATGATGGTGATCAGATCATCAGGTGCCTCGGCAGCTTCCCCATTCATAATATCTCAATCTCTTGTCGATTTGTCACAACTTCTTTCCCCGAATCCACCTCCTCTTCTTTTTCGCACGCATTATTTGTATAATTTTGTTGTATAATTTTTTTCAAAGAGCTTTGCTTAAGCGCGAGCATTTAAATTGTTAAATAAATAAGTTAGGAGATGATGAGACCTCGCTGGGGAACTGGGGGATGTACCGAACCTATCAAGTGACCCATTTTATGGGCATTTAATTTATTTTAAAGCTTTCCTTAGTGAAATCATAAATAACTTTGGATATATATAATCATACATAGTTAATAATAATAACTGTTTAGGAAGTTCCATCCTTAAATGGTACTTTTAACACTTGAGTAACTTTCTGGAGAAGTCTTTCCAATTTCTAAAAAATGGTTTATAATCCTGTATTATAATAGAATCCTGTTATTGCCAGATCGATTTTGATACCTTTTCTGATAATTATAACTGGTATAAGTAGGTCTTCAAAATAGTTTAATTTCATCATTTCATTTAGATATTTCAGTGTCGTATCTGTATCTGAAAGTTTCAGTTTTGTGGCTCCTGCATCACCATGACTTACAACTAAATGCCGGTCACATGTGGCCCTGGCACCCTCTCTAATCTCAAGATCTGCCAACTCATGCCCGGAATGTGGATCCACCAATTTGCTATCCGCGCAAAGCGATCGACTGTCCCTCCGTTCCGACTAAAGGTGACTATAGTAGTAACTCTCGAGCACTTAAATAGTTATATTTTTTAGTTGTTGTCTTCGAATAAATATTTCACCAGGCATGTGTTGTGGGCTCTGTTGTTTTGCTTGATATGGTCGTCGTTGGCTTATAGTGTGCGAGGTGTGAGTTCCAGATAAGCAACGTGACGCCGCCTCACGCGAGATAAATACTGGGGAGCTAGCTTCGTCCCCATGACGGTGGTGGCCACCGGGGGACAGGTGCTAAGGGGATGACGGCACTTTTTTCCCAATAAAAAATATGACATTTAAATGCGACTAACTAAAAAGGGGGGCACACACAGTTATCCTGATAGATGATACAGCTGATAAGGCTGGTCGCGCCACCAGCCCAGCCCCCCAGAATGACGTGGAGAATAAAGAGTTAGTACGTGTTTGTAGTATGGTTTTTTTGTTCTAAATTTCTGATGAAATACCCATGTATTAAGAGCTGAATAAAGTGCATTTAAAAATATATGATAAAACAAACTAAACTTTGAGTTATTTTTCTATAAAACAGCTTTGAGCTTAATAGGATCGAAAGAAATATTAAAACAGTAAATGTCAAGCATAGCTCATGCTTAATTTCGATATATTTTTGGTTATAATTCTCATTATAATTCATTTCCTAACTAATTATTTGATAAACTGTGCTCTTTTTTTCATTCGAATTCAAAAAACAAGAATTTTTAAAATTTTATTCACATTCTGTGGCTTTGTAATTGTTATAAACAAGCTGCCAACCACAAGTTCATTATGTGGAATCGGGTCTTAGTATTCATATGCACATTCTACTGACTTTTTACGACAAACGATTGCCCCGAAATAATGGCCGTTAATTTCAAATGAACTCGAGTCGTAAAAGTGGCCTGTGGTATGGGTGGATTCTTCAGTGGTTCTATGCCGCAGTGAGCACTCCACTTAACTCTCTACTTGGAGCTGTGCCAGGCGGTGTCTGTTTTTTCCCCCGAAGGCTTTTATCGGAGAAGTTTTCAGAAGCGGCTTTACTTGTAAAGGAAAGCAGAGGGTGGAAAACCTGCGGGTAGGGTTGCAAAGTAGTTGAAAATAAGACTTAGGCATTATGGAAATGAAATTAACTAAATTAAAGCCAGATATGTACATAAAGAGTGAAAAATTAAGATAATTAATTAAGATAATAATTAGTTTCTAATGAAAAAAAGGCAATAAAACTCAAGGTTGTAAATCTCTTAAATTTAAGCTTAAAATTTAAACTTGTTATTTTGAAAATATCTTTGAAATCGTCTTAAAAATTATTATTTTTTATTAATATTTATATTTAAATTTTAAAATATATAGAAAATCCCTTTTGTGGCCACCTTAAAGTGGCTCCCAAAGCTAACCAAAAAACTTAAGCAGTCAAAAATCACCCATCAAATCCCCCTTTACCCCCTTGGTAAAAGTGTAGCGCGGTTTGTTTGTTTGTTTGTTTGCACGTTCATTCATAAACTCGTAAAAACTCGAAAACAAACAAAACCGCCTAACCGAAAAATTCCAATAAAATTTTCATTAACACAAACACACACACTTACAAAAAAAAAATGTAAGACAGTGAAAAGAAGCCGAAAATACCACGAAATAGAAAACGCAACGAAAACGCTGAACATAAAACGTAACGAAGCATACCACAATCATAAAAAAAAAAAGAAAAGAAAAAAAAAACAATTTCGAGGCCTAGCCCTGAGGCCCAATCGAAACCAAGTCGATCCGAAACAGAAAAAAAAGAGACCATTACAACAGACACCTGCGAAAATGTTTAAATAATAATGAAATGCCAGTGCGTCGAGCCGCCCTACAAGAAATTAACTCCGATACGTGAGCATTCAAAGTAAAAAACGGCTTTTATACCTTTGGAGCACACACCACAAGCACACACAAATTCCACATTCCATACTCACGCACACTCAGCAACGGAGCAACGGAGGCGGAGACGGAAATTCCACGATCATGACATACTCGTCCGTCGTCTCTTGGCGATGACAAACTTTTATCGCCCCGAAAACGCGCCAACATAAATAATTTGTTTAACTTTTAAAAGCGAGTCATTGCCACCGAGTAATGACTTTCAATGTGCCTACGAAAATGATGTTAATATGATAAATCATAGATGGGGATACATTAAGGCAAACTTTATGTTGTGTTGGTTCATTTAATAAAGGGAATTAGGAAATCGATGGAGAAATTAATATTACCATAAACATATATACATCTTTTTGGATCGTTATAAGCATGTCAATAACAAATACGCATATCGCACTCAAAGCTCAGGCCGATAACCAACAACATATAGGAATCTAATAAGTCACAAGCCATGGCACAAACAACAAGAAACACGTCAACTGATTAAAGGCAAAAATACCGATCTTAGTGCGTGAGCCAAGTCAGCGGCAACCAATCGAAGATGGCCAGCGATAACGATAACGATAGCAGCCAGGACTGTGATTTTATGCATGTTTTTAGGCACAAATATAAATCTATTGCTAAAATTAATGAAAAACTTAATTACCAATCGAGAAATAATTATATTTCCTATCTTGTAATTAACCAATCGATCTATTGATTTTGTATATTTTTATATTTTTTCCTATAAACAAATATATTTCACATTGCAATCTAGAGGCCCCAGAAAATAATACTTTAATATGCCGGTGACAAAATCTCGTGACTTTCACTAGCAGATAGAGCCCAGACTTTGGCCATCAATCACATGGGTGTAGACCGGTAAAGTAGCTGGGGCCTTGTGACAATCCCAATAAGCCGTCACGTTCGAATCAAAATACATTGTTTATTGCACATTTTCCGGGCTGCCTGCCTCATACTCTTTTGTTTTTTTTTTTTTTTATCGGAAACTTCACACACGTCATCGTCGTATCAAATGATGATGATTACAGGGCGATCCTTGACGTGATGTTGTCATTATTATTATTTTTCCAGTTGCATTCACAGCCCGATTGCCGAGTGTTAACTACTACTGCATACACTTGCACCTTGCTCTGTGTGTATTTGTTCAATGAATTATTATTCAGGCGATTGGCAGGCATTGAATTTCACAATAACAATAACAAGATAAGGGCTAGAAGAACATTACTACAGAGCCCGATTGTTCTACTAAAATTAATGATACGAACCAAAGTTCATACAAACAATTCAGCGTTTAAAATTAGATTGTGAAATTTCCGGAAACTTTCGATTGATCACCGAGAAAGCTCCACCTGTCACTACTACTATCTCAATGCCTTAAACTATTATTTTATATTTATAATTTAATTTAAGTATTTGGATGTACCTTTTTTTTTAGTTGTAAACCTTTTTTATGAGATTGTTTTTCACCAAAGATTTCTGAAAATAAAAGAAGGAAAATCAATTGTTAGAAATTAGTATTTTAAGAGTTTTATAAATGTTTATAAAAAAAAATTGTAGCAAATATGTGTAGCCGGAAACTAGGAAATATAAGTCCCCTAATACAATTACTTCAATTGTTCGCCTTGACAGATATTTACACTCATAATTCACCACCGATCCAACTGTCAGGTGAGCTATATGGCCTGCAAGTGATATTTTCAACATTATTGCACATTGTGTGTCAATAATAACAAGGGAAATCGGTGTAGTAAGGAGCCTCGACTAGTAGATACCCGGTTCTTAACAATAAGTCTCTATTTTTAATAAACCAAGTCTTATGACAAAAACCCATTAAAAGTTTTATGGAATCGAATACGCCTTCTTATTACTATTAAATTCTGTAAATGATGTAAAACTAGTATACCCCTTTGCCGTACAATTTACTGGGTATAAAAACTAGAGTTAAATGTAAGGCATTCATAGGCGAACCCTTTTATTCCTCACTTCCTTGTTTGCAAAGATAGTATTGCTTGTCCATAGCAAATATTGACATGGTTCTATGTGGAATTAGGGAATTTATACTTTGCTTCCTGTTTACCTTATGCAATTATGATCAGAAGGAGGCATTTCCGATCGTGTTTTAATATATATAACCAGACTAGTCTATAAGTTTTTAAGCTATCTGGTTGAAATTTTAGGCTGCAGGTGACATAAACATTGGCAGGTATTTAGAAAAACGACTACAATGCTTTTCATTGTTATAATAAAGTGAGTAACCCGATAGAGTCATTATTTACACTCCTTTTATAAAAAGAATTCAATTTAAAGTATCTTATATTACATTTCTTATTTAGAAATTCAAGAATTAAATAAATAAGTTAAGATTTATAATTTATAAACCATCAAAATCTTATTATTATATTTTAAGGATAAAGAAAAGTCATTCCCAAAATGGCTAAGGCAAAGTAAAGTTTGTAATTTTGACTGTGTTGTTTCTTTACGTTTTCCTCAAATGTTATGTTTTAATATTTCTAAGCGATCCAAGTAGAGTAAAAACTAATATCTACACGTCACGTCGACATTAATTAACTTTAATTAAAATCCGTTAACGCTTGAAATGTTTAAACATGAAAACAAGTTTTTGCCTTTCAATTGAAATCGTGCGAAAATATACATATCTCGTGTTTCATAATGTTTACTAATTAAGGCTTGGGCAATCCCGGCGCTATTCCAACTCCAATAATGATTCAATGATTAATTAGTATGGCTGAAGCAATTGTCCGGTAACTGTGTAGATATATACATACATAATATATATACAAAACAAAGGCCTTGAGTTGGACAGTTCCGGTCAGATCAGCCAGCCCTCTTTTTCCCCAGATCCTTTCTCTAGTCTGGTTTTCTGTTTTTCTCTCCCAGTATTGGCTTGCGGTTGACATGCACACAACAACAACAACACAGCTTTAAATCCGCTTTGGTTTATACCACATTTTTGTGGTTTTGTTATTTATCGGCGTGTTAAATAAACAAAGAGATACATGGAAGGCAAATAAAAATAGACTCGAATTGATAGGGAATATTTATATACTATACAACTATCGATATATATATATATTTACTATTTACATTTGTTATTTAAACGCAAATATTTAAGTGTCAGAAAACGAATTGATATAAGTTTTATAAAACTGTAGTTATTTTTTCGATTTTCCATTTTTTATACACAAAAGTGTTACTAAACTTTACTTCAAATACTTAATTATTATTATTGTATAAATACAATTAATAAATTAATCAAATTTGCGTACATCATAATTATATGGAATTTCCAAAAGCTTTACATATATATATTTATTCATTATATATATTAATTAATTAAGTAAAAGAGTGAACAGTGTACATATTTACGTGTTGTTGAATTGTTGAATGGAATGAATGAAACCCAACAACAACCACTAATGAAGCAGTGCCCTACTACAACACACTTGCACTGCTTGCTCGCCGCTCTCTTTCTCTCGCTCGTGTGAATGGGGAATATGCAGCTACGTAAGCGGCAAGAACAACAATGACAACCAAAGCAAGCAACGTGAATGAAATTTGTAGCTCGCTCATTTATTTTTTCTGCGTGTAATGACATTTTCAAGTGTTCGTTATTCCAAGTGCCAGTGTGTGTGTGTGGAATGCAAGTGAGTAAACAACAATAATTGTCAGCCGCAATAACAGAAATAACATTTCATATAAATTCCGATTTGATAAGCTTTCGTCTCTAATCTAGACAGGGACTTTCCCCTCTCTCCTCTTGTTAGTACTAGAGTACTGTTTGGATTTTTTTTTTTTTTTTTTTTGGTTGGTCAACACACGTTTCTTTGCTTACTTTTATTATTTATGATACGTTTCCCCTGCGTCGTTGCCCAATTTCTTTTGATGGAATGGAATGCATTGCACAAGGCATAGGGTGTGTGTGAGTTTGATTTGGCGTTTTAAAGTTATCAATGAATTCTACACACACAGACACACACTGGGACGGAAGCGTGAGTAGAGTAAATTTATACTCGTATTATTGGATTTCATTCATAGCCAAGAGACCCCAATTTCGATTTCTGTGGGGCTAACGATTTCCCTCCATATTTACAGTAAAAACCTACAGTTGAAGTTGCTTTTGGGGTAATTTCACATGATCAATATTAAATATATACAAATATTTAACAGTTTTTTGTGAATTTTTGCACTTGAATTTAAGTTTAAGCTTATAAACAATTTGTAGTCTAACAAGATTAAATAAATAAATTTAGTAGTCGTCAAATACTATTCTTAATTACATGATTTTCTAAAGTACAGTTCGTATAATGAATATCTTTCAGATTTCTTTAAAGTTAAAGAAAATGTTAATATAAAGACGATCTATTTCCTTTGTTATTTGAATTCTTAAAATATTATTAAAGTTTTAACTCGGATAAAACAAAAAATGCATTTAAAATATTCAAATAATTAGTTTAATTTTATAATTTTTATAATTTTGGTTCCATAAAGTATCAGATTAGTATCCAAAACTACATTGTATTTACATTTTTATTTGATTTAAAATATAGAGTGGCAATTTAGGAATTTAAGCTCAGGAGCTTTATAAATTGTATATTATAAAATAACTTATAACAAGATTCACCTAGGTTGGATTGAGGAAAGTGTCACTGTATTTAACTTTTGAGGATGGAATCCGGGTTAGATATGTTTGGCTTATCAGTTTCCTTATCTTCCCAGTTACCTCAAACGAATGTTCCCCTCTTCTATTTTTTGTATTTTTGTGAATGAATATTTCCCTTGAAGCATGGGAAACCACACAACAACAACAATACAACAATCCAATCCAAATGCAATCCATTCCAATATCATTTGTGGTTCCCCGTTTCCAGTTCATTCATTTATTTATTCCCATCCGTCGATATCTTTCGGGCTAAATCAGAACTTTGACGGGGCCAGTCACAAGTCAAGCTAATTAATAACAAGCTGTGGTCAGAGAGGAAAATAAAATAAGTAAAACAAAACTTCCAACACCCCTCCCTCTACCCTCTATATGTAGTATATGTTTCCCCTATGTGTTATCAGTTGAGATTCTCGCTTGTGCTCCCCCTCATATTTTTTCCTTTTATTTTTTTCTCCGCTCTCCGCCTGTCAAATTTGACATTTGCTATTGAACCGTTCATAAAATAGGCGCCAGACTGATTGGGCAAGATGATTTTTGCTCGAGTTTTTCTCCTCTGGTTTGTTGTGTTTTGCTTTGTTTTCTTGTTATGATTTATTAAACATTTACTTGGCTTAATGAATTAATTTGATTTGATTTCGACAGCGTAACGGAAATGTGTCTGTGTTTGTGTGCGTGTGTGTTGGGCGCCAAAAAGGCGCTATGCACGACGCAATTGTCAGAGATGCATTTCAAAATAAGATTGAGGAAAATCACAAGGGAAAACCCCATAGATGACTATCTACTGAATGAATAAATAGTTTAATATAGTTTTTAGCTTAGTCAACTTGAGATTAGATGATATTTTCAATGTGACAAGCATCTCCACATAATTTTCTTTGCCTTTAACTGATAATTGCTTCTATTTATACTTTGATTACCCCTTTTGAATATATTCAACTAATTTTATAGTAGTGCAGGTAGTTCTAGCACGGATTTAAGTACTGGGTTTCCCGTTGTCCAGGCTAAGGACTATATTTGGGCGATATACAAACCACTCTAAGACATTTTAAAAAAGAAAAAAAGCCAAAAGTCATTGGGAATTATATTAAAATAAAGGCTAAACAGATCGATAACACCTTATTTTAAATAAAATTATAAGCTAAAAATATATCGCTTGAGAATAGGATTTCCAGATTGTTCTTGAACAACGGACAAGGGTGTAGAAAGGGAGGAGGAAGAATCCAATCATAAAATAAAACGCAATACATTTTTACAAGTCTCTGGAAAACATAAACAATACCCCAAGTAGACAGCAACAACATCATCATCATCATCAGCTAAGTTTAAATAGTTGTTAGGCTATTAAGTTCCGCTTAAATTGTTTTCGCATTTACCTTATGCCTGCGCTCTATAGCTACAAATACAGTCGTAGTCGGGTCGCAGCTACGGATACAGATGGAAATACATGCAGATACAGATACAAATACATAGAGCCCAAAAGCGCCAGAAGCGAAAAACTCTACAACAACAACAACAACAACAGAAACAACAACTGGCATAAGAAGAACAAGAAAAGCAAAGTGCGAGGCACAAAAGAACCTAATCAAGAGCAAAACGCCGCAAATAAAGCAATAAACAAGACACAATATTGTTTTCATTTTCCCCCTCGTCTTCTTCTCCTTCCTTTTTCTTCTTATTTACTTCGTGTCTTGCTCATGCCCAGGCAACAACAACAACAACAACAGCACACCAACAACAACAATAACAATGAATAATAATACCAACAACAATGAAACGAGAGCGGTTTTCAAATAGC